TCCCGTGGTTCTCTTTCTAATCTTCGTCTCTGCATTTATTCCCAAACCTTGGATTTCAACTCTCCCTTTTCCTTGTTTATATCTGGACTGCTAATCCCTATCCTAAATCCTCCTATCTAGATTTCTATTATTAATCTCCCTTACAGCTCGATTCGTACTCGCTAGTCTGTCTCTCTTTTACCCGTGAACTAAAACATGGCATTAGTAAAGTCTATTCCCAAACCCCCAATAACTACTAGTATATTTGCATTCGTATTACTAAAATACATTACTTTCCTCTGTCTACCCAAACAATTCACAGTTGAAATTCTAACTTCCCTATTAAATTGCTTTCCTTTGTTATCAATTCAAATCACGGCCTCAGCTCTATCGCAATTGCCAGTCCACTATTCAATTTCTATAACTGTCCTTTCTGATTATGCTCAAATTAATAAAACACATACTTGCTATCGTTGACAAGCCTACATTTAATTCACACCCATGTTCAATTCAATATTCCAAATTACAACTACCCTCAATAGTTTTAAAATTATAAACTCATTCGGCGCCACAGAACATAACTTTATTTCCCTTCCTATTCCTATGGAATAAGTTAGTCGTTCCCTCGAAACCACGCAACCTCCTAAATCCCAGTCTTCCACTATAACCAGAAAACCTAGATTTGTCAGTAATGCAGGACTATGCTTTATTGAAATGACAAATAAATCCTCCTTTATCCTAATTAAAATGGTCTGTATTTCTTGCACACACCATACTTATAATTTAGCAGTCAACGAGTCAACTCTGCATTCATTAATTTGGTAACAGCTAACGAATTTAATCAAATGGATTAGTATTTTCTCCCCCTAATTTACTACAATTCCTTTACTAGATCACCTCTGCTCCCGAAATGATAGTTATTATAATGCTTAACCTTTTCTATCACATGCCCTATCTACTGTCTCCCACCCCCCACGTACGTCTACGTATTTGGGCGCACAAGCCAGCACTCATATATTATTTCACTTTTACCCACTCTAATAATCACTTATCCGCACATAACGTTCATCATATTTTAATATTATTCATACCAACCACTGCATTCGTATTTCTAATGATTCTTTATTCCCGCAAGTTAATTTTACCATATCACATACACACACCGCTATTTACCAACGTACAATCAATATTCTTTGACATTCCACTATGGTTAATTTTACCATAATCCTATATTACTCCTAAATTTCCCAACATTAATTACCCCCTAAAAGCTTGACTGAAATTCAATGTGTCGACGTCATATGATCACCCCCGTACACGTGACCTGTTCCTCCAACAGGATTTCTCATACCCCTCCCGGAAAAGACACACACCTCCTTTTCTTCTTCTCCCAGTTATGTGAGAAGCCTCAAAACGACCTAAAATATAGTTCCTTTCCTTTCACTTTCTCCACAAAGAAAAGGCTATTATTTACAGGATTTATTTTTATTGTCTGATCACCCACACAGATAAGCAGCCACTCGTGCTTAAATGAGTCAGACAGAATGACCAGCAGGACGAACAAATGTGTCAGATGATTGAACGAAGCTGACCAAATGACAACTTAATCACAATTGAATAAACCACAGCCGCTCAAACAAACCATTCCCCCGTACAAGATGAGCAGACCTACTCTAATTACCTACTTGAGATGAACGGCGCGACTTCCAATTTATGGTGTCACCTACTTGGATGACCTACTTTTTTACCCAATTAGCTGTCTAATTTGTGCATCACCTCACCCAGGCTGATGCGTCACCTACCCGAGCAGCCTCTAACAATGATCAACACGTTAGAGCGGTATCCGTAGTGGACTTTTGGCTAGCCAACTACCCCCGAGTAGCCCTCTGGGGTGCTAATTTTAGCTCCCCAAAGCGGTATCCTTAGGATTTTTACAATAACATGTCATGCATGCTTAGTTCTCATTCCAACCAAAACTCTGCTCCTTCAGAAATTAAGGACCAAATTTAGCAGGAGAGAACCTTTCCGTACCCCACCCTCAGATTCAGCTTGATCGAAACACACAGCTCAAGTAAGAACGCCGATTATCTTTGTTCAACAGTGGCCAGTGTGTGTGTGTGTTTTGTAAAAACCTCCTCCGATGGTAAAGCGCTCAAAGATCTCTTATAACCAGTCCCTTCGTGGTCGCCAATTATGTTGTGGAAAATCAATCACTGTACTTTATAAGAAATCAAACTATTTTCAGAGTTTTGGTTGCAACAAAAATGACTATTAGAGTTTCAACAAGGTCAGGCCGGTCTGCAGAGTAGCCCCGCCTCTCTCTTGCTCTCCCTCTATATATACACACCCCCTTCCGTCTCTCTCTTCACTTAAAATCCCTCCTACAGTTTCCCGCTCTTTTCCACTCCACGCCCACTTCCTTTGTCTCTGAGGGCGGCTAAACTCGACTTTTATTATGCACATAGTACTCCAACCAATCACCCCCCTGTCTTGCACAAACACTCATGTTTAGTTTAAACATGACAGGGCCCTAAATCCTTGAAACATACACAAACCCCACCCCATCATGCTGTAATCAAGAAGATACCAAGGAGACAAAGGTCTAGCCCAAACTCCATTCAACCCTGGTGCCGCTCCCTTCACGGTGTTTGAAGAGAGAGACACAAAATGCCAGAAGCTGGTTTCAGTCTCTGATCAGATAAGACAGCCATGGATTTAAGTCAGAGTGGAGCAATTTGACCCTAGGTCAGATTCCCCCTTTACCCCACACACACAGTGAAATGACCCAATTCAATTCCTGGCCCAGTAACAAAGAAATCTAACTCTATGCTCTTGATCAACCCAGTTCTACCTCATAGTCCATTAAACTCTACAGTTCATTAATAATAATTCACCACAGTCGCAGCTCCAATTACCTCCTTGTTGAAGGGTGGGCCGTCCCGGCTCCGCTGGTCTGCTGAGGCAGATTTGACCTTCAATAGATTGCGGGATCTGTTCACCTCAGCCCCAGTACTGGCTCACCCAGATCCATCACTACCGTTTGTAGTGGAGGTGGATGCGTCCGAGGTAGGGATAGGCGCTGTACTATCCCAACGTTCGGGCACGCCACCCAAGCTCCGCCCCTGTGCCTTCTTTTCTAAGAAGCTCAGCTCGGCGGAGCAGAACTACGGCGTTGGTGATCGGGAGCTGCTGGCTGTTGTCCGAGCTTTGACGGTGTGGAGACATTGGCTCGAAGGGGCGAAACACCCTTTCCTGGTCTGGACAGACCACCGTAACCTGGAGTACATTCGGGCAGCGAGGAGGCTGAATCCTCGCCAGGCCAGGTGGGCCCTCTTCTTCACCTGGTTTGATTTCACACGCTCATACATTCCGGGTACAAAGAACGTGAAGGCAGACGCACCCACTCGGCTGTATGATACAGAGGAGAGGCCCAGAGACAACACCCCCATACTCCCGGCCTCATGCATTGTGGCGCCTGTAGTATGGGCGATGGATGCGGATATAGCGCAGGCATTACGCACAGATTCATCTCCACCGCAGTGTCCAGCTGGGCTGCAGTACGTGCCTGCGCTTATCCGTGATCATTTCATCTACTGGGCACACACGTCACCCTCCTTTGGTCATCCAGGTATAGGTCGTACAATGCGCTGCCTGACCGAGAAGTACTGGTGGCCTACCTTGGCTAAGGACGTGAGGGTGTATGTGTCCTCCTGCTCAGTGTGCGCCCAGAGTAAGGCACCTAGGCATCTCCCAGCGAGTAAGCTACAACCTTTACCAGTTCCACAACGACCATGGTCTCACTTAAGTATTGATTTCCTCACTGATCTTCCCCCCTCACAAGGTAACACCACTATCCTGGTCGTTGTGGACCGCTTTTCAAAGTCCTGCCGCCTCCTTCCTCTGCCCGGTCTCCCCACGGCCCTACAGACTGTGGAGGCTCTGTTTACTCACGTCTTCCGGCACTACGGGGTACCAGAGGATATAATGTCTGACCGGGGTCCCCAGTTCACGTCTAGAGTTGTGAAGGCGTTCATGGAACGTCTGGGGGTCTCGGTCAGCCTGACCTCTGGATTTCACCCCGAGAGTAATGGGCAGGTGGAATCAGGATGTGGGTAGGTTCCTGCGGACCTACTGTCAGGACCGGCCGGGGGAGTGGTTGCTGGAGGCGAACGTGGGCAGCGTCCCAAGTCTCCTCCGTGCACCAAAACCAGTCATCCACCGCAGGAGCCTCGGTCTGGCGCCACGGTGCCAGAACTCTCTCCGCCACTCCTCCACTAACCTAACACCCTTCCAATGTGTTTTAGGTTACCAACCGGTTCTGGCACCGTGGCACCAGAGCCAGACCGAGGCTCCTGCGGTGGAAGACTGGTTTTGACGCGCGGCGGAGACTTGGGACGCTGCCCACGTTCGCCTCCAGCGCGCCGTGCATCGTCAGAAGGCCAACACTGACTGCCACCGCAGGGAGGCCCCGGTGTTCGTACCGGGGGATTGGGTCTGGCTCTCGACCCGGAATCTCCACCTGCCTTGCCGGAAGCTGAGCCCGCGGTTTGTGGGCTGTCCTGAGGAGAATTAATGAGGTGACATACAGGTTGTTACTCCCCTCTGATTACAGTATTAACCCCTCATTTCATGTGTCTCTCCTCAGGCCGGTGGTAGTTGGTCCGCTCCAGGAGTCTGAGGTGCGTGAGGTGCCTCCACCTCCTCTGGACATTGAGGGGGCCCCGGCGTACTCGGTCCATTCCATCCTGGATTTGAGGCGTTGGGGGCCTTCAGTATCTCGTGGAGTGGGAGGGGTACGGTCTGGAGGAACGGTGCTGGGTCCCAAGGCGGGACATCCTCGATCCCTCCCTGTTCGCCGTTATGCACGTGCTCTATACACTGATCATACCCATACGCTGCTCCATACAACACACACTTATCTCACAGGTCGCGAACGAGGTAGGAGAACTGGGGACGATTATGTGTGTTCCTGTGACAGGGATAAAGATAGTGTATCTCTAGTTTTTACCAGCCTCTCTCAGACGAAGGCCAATAAGACCACTCCATTTGAGTTCGACAACACAGAGGCCTGGGGCACAGACTCCTTTGTCCTGGGGATCATGGGCTTCTGTCTCTACGTCCTGCTGGTGATCACCTCCCTGCCATCTGTAGGAGCAGCGCTCAGCTGGAGGGAGTTCAGCTTCGTACAGGTACAAGGAACGTGTGTTTGTGTGCTTGCGTATATGTACGTCATAATCTAACCCACTCTTATCACTTCTGAGAATGTGTTTCTCTGAGAATTTCCTGCCGAGTCATGGCGCTGTATATAACATTGCTTCAACTATCAGAGCTGTAAAAATGGTGTTAAATCAATATGTCATAATTTGATCACTGAAGACACTTATGGTGTGTGCGCTCTCCCCCACCAGTCCAAGCTGGGCCATCTGACTCTGCGGTTGTATACAACCCAAGGCTTCCTGTACGGCTGGAACAAGTTCCTGCGTTCCTCCACCTACAAGTGGTACACCCCACCAGGCTACATGCAGTGTCTGGTCCTTCCCTCTGTGGTGCTGCTGCTCATCACCCAGTGTGGACCACAGCATCACCCGTATACGCCAGGGCTGGGAGAGGGGGGTGGCAGGAGACAAAAAGCAGCCACCTCTGAAAATAACTCCTGTGATGATTTTTAGTTTTGTTATTGATCGGTCTGCTCTCACGCAGGACTCTAAATTAACTGCTCCTAACTTCAAAATTAAATGATTTTTATAAAACTGCAAATGATGGTCCCATCGTTCTTAATTGCCATCAGTTGTTACATTGATGAAGTAGAATGCATCACTAGAGTGGGCAAGACATTAGAATAAAAGCAACTTTTAATAATTGTATTGGCAAGTGTAACAGCAAACAAAGTAATTATAGGTGATTCGTTTTGGACAAACAGATCCAAAACATTTATTGTATTTAAAAGTGCAACTACAACCTTATCCATTACGGCTTTCAGATAGTTATGCAATAATATTTACGTTGTATTAAGGCAACATGCTGACTATGAACTGATACTTGGATAATGAAATAAAATGTTCAGTCTCCTCACAATAATCAATTTATCTAGAATCCAGCTAATAAATCAACTTGCTTACCTTCTGCATTTGCGTGCTCAACCTCGACATGTCCAACGAGAATGTTTGATGGACATCCCCCACAAAAAAATAAGAAAACGGGCATAAACAACTTCGCATTCCTTCAACATTTGTTTCAACGTCAATCATAAAGATGTAAGGTGAGGCGTACAGTTCAGCAGCAGTTTCTTCCAGGATAGTGTCCGCGATGGTGCCATTGTTTGCACAGGACACCTCGTTTCCATAAACCGGGTTGATTTGTAATCCATTCTTTTTCTGAGTGCGTAACATTGGTCTGAATTTGATAAAGGCCCTCTTTGGCAATGCAGTAAGTGGGGTTACATTTCTGTGTTCCAACAGTAAGGTTAACGAAGTAGACGGAAGTCAGCGAGTAAAGTTGAGGGAGGTGCATCTGCAACAGACAAGTCAGACACCATAATGGTTTTCCAACCGCAAGGCTCAGATCAACATGTCAGTGTCAACATCACTATTGTTTCTAAAAAAATTTAAATGGTTAAGTGAACTTCACTGAAACCGTATGTACAAATAAAATCAGTTAAAGTCTCAAATATTACTAATTTGTATTCCCTGTAGCTTTAGAATCGCGACAAAGTTGGTTCCTGTTTGTCACAGTCGCGTTCTCAAACCAGAAAACTCCTAATTGGTTGGTTGACAAATAGTGCCTCCCACAATGCAGATGGCTCCATGTTGCTGAAAAGCAACTGCAGCGGCTTGAAGGAGACTAACTGCATGACCTTTCATCACATGGTTTTTGTAAGGTTCACGCAAGTCGACATGTAGGCGCAAGTCTAAAGATCTTTATCCTTAATGTAACACTTTGAAAGGCTGTGACGACCATCGTTTTCACCGCCAGAGACCGAAGAGGAATCGAGACATCCCACCTGCTGGTTCAATTGAAGTAAATTAAGTAGACCAGACCCAGCTGCTATCACATTGGGGTCTATGGGAGAGCCACCCCATTAAGCAGACAGGAACCCTAATGGTAAACAGCCTGCGTGAACTCATTTCTTTGGCCACCGCCTTTCAAAGCGTGTTGCGTTATGGGGACGTAATTTTGCTGCGCCAACACGCCAATTATCTTAGTAGGATCTCAAATGTTGAAAACCAACCCTACCCACCTAAAATTGCAGATAGTTTGTCAATAATGCTGTAGATGCTGGATAATACGATGCCTCTGGTTTAATGTTCTGCTTTGGGCAAGAGTTTGTATATTACTCGAAAATATTGCTGGTGGATGTGTTACGCTCATCCAATTGCAGTCTACTGTAGGGAGAATGTCAGTTCCTTATATGTTGTCCACACAACCGATAAGACCAGTCCGGAAAGACCAGTATGGCATTGCAATTGTGAATTACCAGACAGCATGATAGAAAGTTGATTTGGTTTATTAAACGTTTGAATGGTTAGTTGGACTGCTTGTTCTCCAGCAGTACTCGATCTGAAGTCTGGAAGTCCAGGGCCCCCCAGCTGAGAACGTTTCCAGGGGTGAAATTTGTCTGGTTAGTGTACCTCTGGATCTCATAGGGAGACCGCAGGTTGTCCCACATGTGGACATCAGTCAGCATGCCAACGAACGACTGCTGCCGGGCAAAAAACCTGCCAAACTTAACCTGCTCCTGAAACAGTAAACATTTGTTCAGTAATAGAATGCTTGCTTGTTCTGTTCAGTGTTAAATGCTTTATTTCACTAGAGCACTACCGTATGTGGCCAAAGTAACACTATGCGGAATAGGGTTTCATTTAAAACAGCCATGGTTTTGTAATAATCCTACCTGTCCAAGGATGATAGTTTTTCCTTTGATGGCTTCAGATTGGAGGAATTTCCTGGTGCTGGGTTTGCCATCCAGCCACAGCTGTCCAAGGCCTGTCTCAGAGGCCCAGGTAGAGTGCCAGGTGTTGAGGGTGTAGTCCTGACCATCAAAGATTGCTATGCGGTGCTTGGAACGTTGTTCCAGTTCGCCTGCCGCAGTCCTCTTGATGACAACAGCGTCATCTTTAGTAGGTGTGGCAAGAAAGAACAGGGGCGGCAGGTAGCTTAGTGGGTAAGAGCGTTGTGCCAGTAACTGAAAGGTCGCTGGTTCTAATCCCCGAGCCGACTAGGTGAAAAATCTGTCGATGTGCCCTTAAGCAAGGCACTTAACCCTAATTGCTCCTGTAAGTCGCTCTGGATAAGAGCGTCTGCTAAATGACTAAAATGTAAATGTAAAAAATGGATATGGTTCCTTCTGAGGTCTTTTTTTATTTATTTTTAATTTCACCTTTATTTAACCAGGTAAGCCAGTTGAGAACAGGTTCTCATTTACAACTGCGACCTGGCCAAGATAAAGCAAAGCAGTGCAATAAAAAAACACAGAGTTACATATGGGGTAAAAAACATAAAGTCAAAAATACAACAGAAAATATATATACAGTGTGTGCAAATGTAGCAAGTTATGGAGGTAAGGCAATAAATAGGCTATAGTGCAGAATAATTACAATAGTATTAACACTGGAATGCTAGATGTGCAAGAGATTATGTGCAAATAGAGATACCGGGGTGCAAAAGAGCAAAATAAATAACAATATAGGGATGAGGTAGTTGGGTGGGCTAATTTCAGTGAAGAACCTGGAGAGACAGGGAGAAACTGTTAAGGTTCATGATATCATACAGTTAGCAAAAGATTCACATACCATCCATTAGTCAATAAAAACAAAAACTTCAGTTTCAGGGTGTGAGATGTCAGTGTTTACCGGAGACAAACGGTCATGGCAGTGAACTTCTCTCGAGAGGTCATTAGTCTCACGTGAGCTGTGTTGGTCTCTTGTGGAAAGGTCAACATCTTACCCGAGTTCTGCAGACAGAATGTAGTGAAAGTTACCTGATCAAAACAGCTTTATTAATTTCACCTTTAGTCCATGTAGTCTTAAATATTTACATTTCAACCCACTTAAAAAAACTGCTACAAAGTTCACACTCTGGCGAGAGTTCAAATACTGACCAAACAAAATAAGTTGGTTATTTACTTTCATTACCGTTAACACAGTGACTAGCTTACCTTGAGGTACAGCACAGCATGTTGTAATCACCACAAGTACTAATAGGAATTTCTCCATTGGTAAGGATACATTTAATTTTTTTCCCAATCAATTAACTGTTTCTGTTACAGCGTCATGCACTGCAGAATAGAGAGAAATAATGTTAGTTTGGTCAGATATAAGTAGTGGTGGCAGTGGTGATTAAGGAGAGTGAGGACAGGTGTGGAGGCTGATTGGCAATGAGTAGCAGCAGGTGCACGTTGAGTTAATAGAGGAGCTGCGTTCAAGGCAGCTAGTTGAAAGTGTTACATTCAAGTCTGGTCCATAGAGTTAGTTAGAGGACCCATCTTTGTATATTTCAGTATGGTGTCTATGAGAACAAGGGAAGTGCCATTGAGGCCATCTCCATTTTAAAGTAGTCAATTTTCTTCTGCTTTTGTATTTGAAAAAAGCATAAAGCTAATATTGGTGGTGGAAGCCCCAAATGGCAATATCCATACAGAACCGGGTTACATCCATGATGAGTCCTCTGGGTGTGTCTCTTGCATCTCCTTTGTAAGTTAGTATCTTCCAGGTGCTGAACCCCTCTGGCACAGGTGTACTGCCAGGTGTACTGACCAGTGCTAGGGTTTCCAGGCTGGAGGGATTTATGTCGCAGCGCTTCAGCAGGTCCTTCAGCGGAGTGTTTGGCTGTGTTGAGTTGGCGGTAGAGAACTCAGCGGGGGAGGCGTGATCAGGCATGTGGATCACGTGGCCGAGCCAGTAAAGGTGTCATTTAACCATGCTTGCCTCAATGCAGGACTACTTGGTGTTGGCGAGGATCTCGATGTTGGGTACTCTGTCCTCCCAGGTTAGCCCTGGATTCTAAATAGAGTGTGGATTTTGTTGCCAAGGGAGCACATAGGGGAGAGGGCAGCACCGAGGTAGATGAAATGGGGTACCACTTTGAGGGGAACACTGGAGAATGCAGATGAGAGTTGAGCAATTATTTATGTCTTTTGGGTATTGACTTGGAGGCCAACAGAGAGGTAGGAGGAGACCATAGGTGTGTTCAATAAGGATTTTGTTTGCGAACATTCGCTGCGAACTATGTTTGTTTTCAACCGAGTTTGTTGAACGTTTTTAACGTTCCATTTCTGTTAGTCTTGGCAAACTGAAATGGATGTGGCAGGAAGAGCAGCTGTGCTTGCTGCAGCAATTGTGGAAGATTTTTTAGATTTTGTTCCCGATCCTATTGAAGCACTGTTTCCCCTACTAGCAGTTGCTATATATGGGATTGAAGATGAGTCCGGTAGAATACTGAATTATGTGGAGGAGGTGATCCCGACATAAAGTGACCACTCCTTTCGATCTCACTTTCGGATGGGTCAGGAGACCTTCCAGGTAATTTGCAATACATTCGCATATTATATTTTGTATCAGATGTATTATTTATGATATGTGTGTACTCCTTTTTAATAATACAAACAAGCCCAGCCTCAATGATCTAGCTAGCTTGCCAACAACAGCTTTGCAGTCTCTATTTGCGTTGTTTG